TGTGTGTGTGTGTGTGTTTCCGCAACAACTTGTCCGTAACTTCCAACTCAGGAACCACAAAGGCTAGGAAGCTGAAAATTTAGGGTAATGTTCCCTACCGCAAATTTAAATTCAGTCTCCCCGTACCCGCGGGTAATGCGTACAGCCACGCAAAGGTTTTAGCGGGTAAAATTATTATCACGGAAACTACGGAATCTAGGGGACTAAAATTTTTGGACAGTGACCCTCCCCGCATGCGGCCTTGCAAATTCAAATTCATCGTTCTCACACACTTGGGTATCAGCTGCGGCTCCGTGAAAGTTTTGGCGAAGAAATTATCATCTCCGGAACAATAAAAGTCAAGAGGCCGAAATTTTGCGGTGGTGTGTCTTCTACAAACCAGAAACTTTAAATTCAGCCTTCCCCCGCATCCAGATTTCACTTACGGCCCCGTGAAAGTTTCAGCGGGGAAGATTATTATCTCGTGAACCACGAAAGTTGGGATTCCGAAATTTTAGAGCAGTGTCCCCTATCAACGTACAATTCCTGCAAATTTGAGCCTTCACGCCCCCTTGCATACCACGTATGGCCCTGTGAAATTTTTGGTAGGAAAATTATTATCTCGTGAACTGTAAGAGCTAGAAAGCTGAAATTTTAGCGTGGCATCCCCTGCCCACGTACAACTCTGCAAATTCTCAACGTCCCCGTGAAAGTTTTGGCGGGAAGAATCATTATCTCGAAGCCAGAAGAGTTAGGAGGCCGAAAATTTCTGGAGAATATTTGCTGTCTAAGCAGAGGCTTCACAAACTCGATTTCAATTCCCAATTGTTCCGAGGTCTCACATGCAACCATGTGAAAGTTTTGTCTCAAAGATCACTGAAAGTTTGTCTCAAAGGTTTATTTCAATGTTTTGTCTCAAAGGCTGAGTCAAAATTTGCAGGGGTTGCAGGGGAAAGCCAGAAAATTAGGAGACTGAAATTTTGGAAGGATATTCATCCTCTGAGGTTTCAAATTCAGCTTTCTTGTACTGATGCGTGAAATTTTTAACTATTTTTTAACATTTCAACTATATTTGCACAGACTAAAGTGCAAAGCAGTAAAAAACATTAACTGGTAATCGTTCGGTAGACGGAATTGCACAAAACGCACAATTGCACCGGCTGTTCTGGTGCGCGTTGCTATTTATTGTTCACTGTAGCATAAACGCAGAAAAACAGAACAGTGTGATTTACATAGCCTCCTACAGGTGCAGTTTTGACGGTACCTTCTAGAATGGAACTCATCCCGAAAAGCAGTATACTACTGTGCCACTCGCTATTTGATCGACCAGCAAATTTCGATCTTGGGACCTACGAAAGCTATAAAGTTGAATGTTTGACAACTTAGTCTGCAGCTATGTATGGGTTCCTAGGTGTAAAATGATCATCCACGTCCCCCGAGCTCTCACTTGCGAGCACGTGAAAAATTTTTTTGCAACAAAGCGATTTGGGGAACCAGACAAACTACAGGGCTAAAAACCCGTTCGAGATCCTTCGGCCGACAGCAGGGATTAAACAGAATGGCTTCTTGGAAATGAGAAACCTTTTCTCTTTTTACTTTTTTTTTGCGCTTTGCTTCGACAGTCCGCAGCTGTATTTACTGGAATCCTTGTGACAACCGCGACAAATTGGTGGTCAATCTCAATTTGTTTAGCTAAACTGCTGGAAGGAAGCAATGCTATTTATCGACAGGCTTTTGCAAGAAAAATTGTGCAAAAAATACATGCTGGCACCGTCAGGACGGGTGCGTAGCAACCTAGACTATCTTAAATAACAAGCAGCCACAAGTCTTTCTGAATTTCGAAGACGAACAAACCGCTTGAAATCATGCAAAGACCAGAAAAGTTCTAAAACTCATATTAATATTTAATTTAATTTCCGGCTGGCTAGCAATGGACGTTGATCGCAATCAACCATTTTTTGTGCAACTGGTCGGCAAATCAACAGGATCAGGATTCGTTCTACTGCGACAGATCGAAACATCGGGAGACTGGTGTCCGCTTCCAACGGTGTCACAGTACGCGTGTAAAAAGTTGTCCTGCACATTTCAGCAATCTTTTTGCAATTATATGACAGATACAAGTCAACAAGCAAATATTCTCTTCACGCTAAATACAAAAGGTTAGATAATAAGGATACAGTTATTGAAATTCTGCAACTTTTCTTGGTATTTCGGGCAAATACAGACACAGTTCAGTGCTGTTTTTACAGCGACAGAATATTTCGTCATAACAAAAACAACTTTTGAAGCCATATATTCTGGACTACTGGTATTTAGCATAACCGGTGGAACGAGGCAAAAGATCCACGCAGCCGTAACTAGACATAAAGTGAGAATGCACACCCGACCGTAACAACATGGGGAAACACATGAGAGAAGCAGAAATGAACCCAAGCTGGAACGCATCAGGCTTGCCGGTGCGATTATGCGTTTTTGCACTAAATTCGCAGGCCGCTAATAGCAGGAATAGTCCCTGCGCTGTAGCCTAACACTTGGGCTCATAGTGACCATGCTTTGGCCTTCTTCCGGCATGCAGGAGATAGGGCGTCGGTTTGGATGCAGGTGGTACATTATAGAGCTCCACGGACTTTCTGGTACATGATTACCAGTTTTTAAACGTTTTTGCATATATGTAAATTGCAAAAACGCATATTGGAAAGAGGCCGTGTGTGTGCGTGTGTGTGTGTGTGTGTGTGTGTGTGTGTGTGCCTGTGTGTTCGCACTTTTTGTCATCCATTTTCAACTCAAGACCCAGGAAAGCCAGAAGGCTGAAACTTTGGGGATATGTGCCCATACCATGCGCGACCCTCCCG